TGCATAATAAAATGGGGGCTTCCAATGCACAGATTGAAGAGGCAGAAAGGAGAATAGGTGAATTAGAAGACCCAATTATAGAAAAAGAGGAAGCTGAGAAAAAGAGAGATAAACTGATCCAGGAACATGAAAGGAGAGTTCGAGAGCTAAGCAATACAGTCAAACAGAACAATATCCATATCATAGGAATTCTAGAATAGGAATAGAGAGGGAAAGGCGCTGAAGGAGTCCTTGAACAAATTATAGCTGAGAACTTCCCCAATCTGGGGTAGGAAAACAGACACTGAAATCCAAGAGGCACAGAGAACTCCCCTCAGACGTAACTTGAATCGATCTGCACAACATATCATAGTGAAACTGGCAAAATATTAGGACAAGGAGAGAATTCTGAAAGCAGCTAGGGAGAAAAGGGCCCTAATATACAAAGAGAAACCTATCAGAGTGGTTACAGACCTATCTACTGAAACTTGGCAGGCCAGAAAGGAATGGCAGGAAATATTTAATGTGATAAACAGAAAAAATATGCAGCCAAGAATCCTCTATCCAGCAAGCCTGTCATTCAGAACAGAAGGAGAGATAAAAGTCTTCCCAATAAACAAAAATTGAAAGAATTCGTCACCACTAAACCAGCCCTACAAGAAATCCTGAGGAGGACTCTATGAGGGAAATGTTGCAAGGAACAAAAGGTAACAGAGACAACACCACAAGCGTGAATCCTACAAAGAACACAATGACTCTAAACCCATATTTTTCAATAATAACACTGAATGTAAACGGACTAAATGCTCTAATCAAAAGACATAGGGTACCAGAATGGATAAAAAAAAAAAAATCCATCAATTTGTTGTCTACAAGAGACTCATTTTAGACCTGAGGACACCTTTAGGTTGAAAGTAAGGGGATGGAGAAATATCTATCATGCTACTAGAAGTCAAAATAAAGCTGGAGTAGCTATACTTATATCAGACAAACTGGACTTTAAATTAAAGACAGTAACAAGGGATGAAGAAGGGCATTATATAATAATTACAGGGTCTATCTACCTGGAAGAGCTAACAATTATAAATGTCTATGCACCGAATATGGAAGCACCTAAATATCTAAAACAATTAATCACAAACAGAAACAATCTTATGGATAAGAATGTGCTAATAGCAGGGGATTTTAATACTCCACTTACAGCAATGGACAGATCAACTAGACAGAAAATCACTAAAGAAACAATGAACTTGAATGACACATTGGACCAGATGGATTTGACAGATATATTTAGAACTCTACATCCTGAGGTCATGGAATTCACTTTCTTCTCAAGTGTGATCACCTCAATAAATATAAAAGAATTGAGACCATGCACACTTTCAGATCACAATGCTATGAAACTTGAAATCAACCACAGGAAGAAGTCTGGAAAACCTCCAAAAACATGGAGGTTAAAGAACACCCTGCTAAAGAACGAATGTGCCAATCAGGCAATTAGAGAAGAAATTTAAAAATATATGGAAACAAATGAAAATAAAAATAAACAATTCAAACTCTATGAGATGCAGCAAAGGCAGTCCTAAAGGAAAGTACATCGTACTCCAGATCTATTTCAAGAAATTAGAAAAAGCGCAAGTAAAAAATCTAACAGTGCACCTAAAGGAACTAGAAGGAGAGTAACAAGAGCACCCCAAACCCAGTAGGAGAAGAGAAATAATAAAAATCATGGCAGAAATAAACAATATATAATCCAAAAAAACAGTTGAACAGATCAATGAAACCATGAGTTGGAAAAAATAAACAAAATGGACAAACCTCTAGCGAGACTTCTCAAAAAGAAAAGAAAGAGCACCCAAATAGACAAAATCATGAATGAAAATGGACTTATTACAACCAGCCCCTCAGAAATACAAACAATTATCAGGGAATACTATGAAAAACTATATGCCAACAAACTGGACAACTTAGAAGAAATGAACAAATTCCTAAACACATTCACTACCAAAATTCACACGGGAAGAGATAGAAAATCTGAACAGACCCATAATTAGTGAAGAAATCGAATCAGTTATCAACAATCTCCCAACAAATAAGAGCCCTGAGCCAGATGGCTTCCCTAGGGAATTCTACCAGACGTTTAAAACAGAATTAATACCCATTCTTCTCAAGCTATCCCAAAAAATGGAAATCGAAGGAAAACTTCTGAACTCGTTCTATGAAGCCAGCATCAACAGATGCAGAAACAGCATTTGACAAAATACAGCACCCCTTCTTAATAAAGACCCTTGAGAAAGTCGGGATAGAAGGAACTTACTTAAACATCATAAAAGCCATCTATGAGAAGCCCTCAGCTAACATCATCCTCAACGGGGAAAAACTGAGAGCTTTCGCCCTGAGATCAGGAACACAACAGGGATGTCCACTCTCACCATTGTTGTTTAACATAGTGCTGGAAGTCCTAGCATCAGCCATCAGACAACAAAAGGAAATCAAAGGCATCAGAATTGGCAAAGAAGAAGTCAAACTCTCACTTTTCACAGACGGTATTATACTCTATATAGAAAACCTGAAAGACTCCACCAGAAGCCTACTAGAGCTAATCCATGAATTCAGCAAAGTTGCAGGATACAAAATCAATATACAGAAATCGGTTGCATTTTTATACACAAACAATGAAGCAACAGAAAGAGAAATCAAGAAACTAAGCCCATTCACAATTGCACAAAAAACCATAAAATACCTAGGAATATACCTAACCAAAGATATAAGAGATCTATATGATGAAAACTATAGAAAACTTATGAAGGAAACTGAAGACACAAAGAAATGGAAAAACATTCCATGCTCATGGGTCGAAAGAATAAATATTGTTAAAATGCCATTACTACCCAAAGCAATCTACACATTCAATGCAATTCCAATCAAAATTGCACAGCATTCTTCTCAAAACTAGAACAAACTATCCTAAAATGTATATGGAACCACTAAAGACCCCAAATAGCCAAAGGAATATTGGAGAAGAAAACCAAAACAAGAGGCATCACCATCCCAGACTTTAGCCTTGACTACAAAGCTGTCATCATCAAGACAGTATGGTATTGGCACAAAAACAGACACATAGACCAAAGGAACAGAATAAAGAACTCAGAACTGAACCCATATATCTACAGCTAATTAATCTTTGACAAAGCGGGAAAGAGTATCCAATGGAAAAAAGACAGACTCTTTAATAGATGGTGCTGGGAGAACTGGACAGCAACATGCAGAAGAATGAAACTAGATCACTTTCTCACACCATACACAAAAATAAACTGAAAGTGGATAAAGGACCTGAATGTGAGACAGGAAACCATCAAAACCCTAAAGGAGAAAGTCGGAGACATCCTCCTTGACCTCAACTGCAGCAATTTCTTACTTGACACATCCCCAAAGGCAAGGGAATCAAGAGCAAAAATGAACTATTGGGACCTCACCAAGATAAAAAGCTTCTGCACGGCAAAGGAAACAATCAACAAAACTAATAGGCAACCAACGGAATGGGAAAAGATAGTTGCAAATGACATATCAGACAAAGGGTTAATATCCAAAATCTATAAGGAACTCACCAAACTCCACACCAAAAAAACAAACAATCCAGTGAGGAAATGGGCAGAAGACGTGAACAGACACTTCTCCAAAGAGGACATCCAGATGGCCAACAGACAGAGGACATCCAGATGGCCAACAGACACATGAAAGGATGCTCAGCATCCCTCCTCATCAGGGAAATACAAATTAAAACCACACTGAGATACCACCTCACGCGAGTCAGAGTGGCTAAAATGAGCAAATCAGGGAACGCGAGATGCTGGCAAGGATGTGGAGAAACGGGCACCCCCCTACACTGTTGGTGGGAATGTAAACTGGTGCAGCCCCTCTGGAAAACAGTATGGAGGTTCCTCAAAAAGTTAACAATAGAACTCCCAATAGAAGATCCATCAGTAGCACTGCTAGGAATTTACCCTAGGGATACAGGAGTGCTGATGCATAGGGGCACATGCATCTCAATGTTCATAGCAGCACTCTCAGCAATAACCAAAACATGGAAAGAACTTAAGTGTCCATCAACTGATGAATGGATCAAGAAGATGTGGTTCATCTATACAATGGAATACTACATGGCAATGGGAAAGAATGAAATCTGGCCATGTGTAGCAACATGGATGGAACTAGAAGATGTTATGCTGAGTGAAATAAGTCAGGCAGAGAAGGACATATACCATATGTTTGCATTTATAGGTGGATTAGGAGGAATTTAACGTAGGACCATGAGGGAGAAGAAGGGGAAAAATAGTGGGGGAGAGGGAGGGAGGCAAACCATGAGAGACTCTTGAATGCTGAGAACAAACAGGGCTGGTGAGGGTGGGGGAGGGGGGTGATGGGCATGGGGGAGGGCACTTGTTGGGATGAGCACAGCGTGTTATATGGAAACCAACTTGACAATAAACTATTCAAAAATAAATAAATAAATAAAAAACAAAAATACATACACATTAAAAAAATTAAAGAAAATATATGAGTATTAACAGGAATGAGTATAGCTTGCTCCAATAACCTTCATTTGTGAACACAGTTTACAGAAGTTTGAATTCCAATTTCTATACGCCATTAAATCTTCTTTTTATTTATTTTTTGTATGCTTTAAAAATGATGGACCATTCTTCGCTTATATTTTAAGAACATTTGCATTAAGGTATACGAGGGGTTAGTCAAGGCCATTCCTGGCCAGGAAGACAGAAAGATGATATGCTATTTCTAAACCACAGATTCTCTTAGATCTTCTACCCAGGGTTGGGACTAAGGGGAGACAAAGTGAGCTCCCTAGGGCTCAAAATTTAAGGAGGCACTCCCTGAGAAGTAGAGTGCTGGCACTTGCAAAACCCTGAGATTGAGTGCCTCCTTAAAAGTTGCCACCTAGGCCCCTTGCTGGCCTCATCCTTGGCCTGGTCATGCCACACGTGCGTAATGAAGTACAGTACCAAAGTGCTGACCTCCTCAACCAGCTCTGCCTTGGATGCCTTCCTTGTGAGGCACAAGTTTGCAGATGACAATCTGGTTCCCAGCCACTGCTCTGGAGGGACAGAATCTAGATAACAAGAAAAATGGCCTATATGATAAAAGCTTAGGCAGAAGAGGAGGGAGAAACTAGGCAGATTGGAGTTTGGAAAGAATCTGGGGGAGGAGGAAGATTAAAAAATTCAATTTGACCATTGTGTCTGGGGGGGGGGTAAGTTAGAACAATGAGAACGAGATCCACATCCAAAGAAAATATTTAACAAGTTTCACTGTGCCTTAAAATTGTTAAGCCTCCTTTGCCACTGTCTCAACTTGCATTCATTATATCTGTATCCATATACATACATACACATATATGCACACATAATATTGAAAATCATATATTTGATAATGGACTTATATCCAGAATATGTAGAGAACTCAATAATTTAAAAATATTAAAAATAGGCAAAGAATTTGAATAGGCATTTCTCCAAAGATGTACAAATGGACAATAAACACATGAAAAGATGCTCAACATCATTTGCCATCAGTAAAAGGCATTCAAAACTACAATGAGATATTACCTCATATCAACTAGGATGTCTATAAGCAAAAAGATGGACACTAAGAGATGTGGGTCAGGATGTGGAGACATTGGAACCTTCACATGCTGCTAGCGGGAATGCAAAAAGGTGCAGCTGCTTTGGAAAACAGTCTGGCAGTTCTTCAAAAGGTTAAACATAGTTACATAACTCAGCAGTTCCACTCCTGGATATGTACCCAGGAGAAATGAAGACATATATCCACACAAACACTTGCACAGGATATTCATAGCAGACAAGACAGAAAGTGGGAAGAATCCAATTTCTAACAATTGATGAATGGATAAATAAAATGTGATATGTTCATACAATGGAGTATTATTCATAGGTAAAAAGTAACAAGGTACTCACACATGGTATAGTACAGATGTACCTTGAACATACTAAGTTAACTACACTGGAATTAAAATTAAAAAAACACATTATGTTAAGTGAAAGAAGCCAGTCACAAAAGACTGCATACTTTATGAGTCCATTCAGATGAAGGTCCAGAATGCAAAAATTTCTAGACACAGAAAATAGATTAGTGGATGTTTCTGAGTAGGAAAGTGGAGAGAAGAGATGAGGATAATGGAGTGTGATAGCTAGAGAGTAGGGGGTTTCTTTTGGAGGTGATGAAAATGTTCAAAAATTGTGATGATGACGTATATATCTGTGAACATATAAAAAACCACTGAAATTTGCATTTTACATAGGTAAACTGTATGGTGTGTAAATTATATCTCAATAAAGCTGTTAAAAACAAGAGAAGTCAAAGTATTTCTCCTTGCCTTGAAAGAGATCTGCTATTGGGATTCAACGTATAGGCTCTCCTTACCCTTGAAAGATGATGATGTCTCTGTGTTGCTGAAGACTGAGGTGGTTTTCTTGTTGAGGGTTTGATGGGTGATGGCCTAAATGACAGGGAAGGGCTGAATGTTGGTTAGGGCTAGAGATTTGGATGCCTGAACTCTGCAGGACCCATATTTAATCTGAGGTTCTAAGTGCAGCCAGGCCAGCTGCTAGAAAAAAGAACCAATGGATGGAACACCATATTGGTGTTCCTAAGGCTCTTCAAGACCAGAAAATGACCCAGCACCATTGTCTGAGAACAGCTTTTCAGGGAGGGCCCTGACTGAGCCATGAGTTAGTCTAGGCATGAAAGGGTCAGGAGACCACTCCTCACTCCCAATGATGCTTCAGTCCTTGATGCTGAATCCTGTAATCAATCACTGGGGGAGAAACTTCCATACCACTCCAGGAGGCATTTAAGCCCTGTGGGAAACAGCACCCAAGGATGGGATTAAGGGGAGAGGGACACTATTGTCACTCATGACTCCAGGGGGTCATTCTCTGGGTAGCCTGAGTCCCTCCTGTGTAAAAATGCAGGGTACATTAGATAAAGGCTCCATCTGATGGTCTTATCCTTGCCTATGGGTTCTGATTCTTTTAACCATGGCCCATTTCTAGGAATGAGGCCTCTCTGCTGCTAATTCCCATTAGTCAGGACATCTGGGGAAAAGGGAAAAAAAATCTTAGTTCAGATACTGTCCTAAGGCTACCTTGTAAATAACAGTGGTCATGAATATATTCACCTTAAAATAGAGTCCAGGGTCAGCATTTTTCATTCCATTTTTTTGCCAAATCCTAGCCAAAGATCTGGTGTAACTACTGAGATGTAGAAGTAAATTTATCCTAAACTTGTCCCAATGCAGCTAATAAGGGAAAGTTGTCCAATCTTCACAAAGTCAGCTTCTGACAGCCTGTCACATTTTCCACTGATGCACCAGACGTGACTAAACTGTGCAGGGGCTGTCCGTCCAGGATCTGGATTCCCTTTCACTGTGCTCAGCAGGAAGGGACGGGCATCGTCCTATACCCATGTCATGAACTTGACATAACCCTTAGTAATGGAAGAGGAGGCCTGGCATGCTACCAAGCCCAGGCTTTCAGCTTAGTCTCTACACCCTGTGAAATTTTAATTATTTCAAGGTCCACACTGTACCCAATCTGCAGGGAGACCAAATTTTCAGAGGAGAAAATAAAACATGCTGCTATTTCAACAACCATCTATTACAACACTAGACAGCAGGACTCAATGGATACTTGATCATTCCTCAAAGTTACCACTTGGAAGACAAATTTATTATTGATTGATCCCTTGACACATAACAAAGAAAATATAAGCTCAAAGACATATATACTGACAAAGGCATTTATGTTAAACACTCAAAAACTTTTCATTGCCTCTTATGTTTAATCTTCTCTGCTAAACAGTAAAATAAAATGTGAAGAAAAAAGATACATTTTAGAAGGAAGAAAGAAGAGTAAGAACTAGCAACACAGAAACTGGTGTGACTTTCCTTTTTAATGTACAGTTTTTCTAGTCTGATTTTTAAAAAAAAATAAAATTTCATCTTTTTTCTGTTTGGCTGTACATATTCTTATACAGTAAATCCTCTCATGGACCATGGCAGGGAGACAAATGAAGTGATAACACAGGAGCTAGTGGCCTGACTGCTTTGTCCACCCTCCCCTCCTCTATACTCCATCCCTCAATACACATGGAACTCAGGTTCCATGAATAATTCCAGCACAGGCAGGAACTTCTTGTACTTTATATTCAGAATAACTCTAAATACCTTAAACTCCCCAAGATTCAGGCAGAGAGGGAATTTTTTAAAAGGAAAACACTCTCAACCAACTTTCAATCTAGAGACTTCAGCCACTTGCCAAAATATGTCATCTTGTTAAGCCAATAAATGGAGAGCAGGAGTGTGGCTGTAACTGGATCAGGAGTAGGGTTTTTCATTTTTCACAAGTGAGGGAGAGGAGGATACCAATATGGTTTGTCAGTCAGCAAGCATTAATTCTCATTAATGTCTCCTATTCAAATCCATTCTTTGCTACACAGCTGTGCAAACATAAATTAATTGGGTCATTTTGCTGAAGGCATACAAGAAAAAAATTTCAATGTGAGGCAGAGGAACTAACTGGACAAATAACACATTCTTTAAATGTGTAGGAAGGACTATACAAACCACCACATCCAAATTCACACCACCATCAACTCCCCTATGGGAGAAGCTCCAAAAGCAGAAGGAGGTGGGGACAAGTTCATGACAAAACATATAATAAACTGCCAGAGTGAAAGGGCACCTGGGTGGCTCAGTCAGTTAAGTGTCGACTTTGGCTCAGGTCATGATCTCACGGTTCGTGGGTTCAAGCCCCATGTCGGGCTCTGTGCTGACAGTGCAGAGCTTGGAGTCTGTTTCAGATTCTGTATCTCCCTCTCTCTCTGACTCTCTCTAGCTCACACTGTCTCTCTCTCTCAGAAATTAAAAAACAAACAAAAAAACTGCCAGAGTGAAAATACTGGCTCCCACTCCTTGCCAGATAATGTGCTATCTATTTCACAGAGCTATTTCATTTAATACCCTCATAACCTCATTACTCTCAGTTTACATATAAGGTAATTAGAAGCAAAGAGGTTAAATTACTTGCATGAAGTCATACCAGCAGTAAATGGCGAAGTTACAGTGGTCAATGTTCAATTCAAGCTGACCGACTCCAGAGACCATGTTCCTAAGATGACATTGTCCTGTTTTCTATATGCTTGACACACGCTTGCATTGTGGAGAGTAGAAAAAAAGGTACAGCCATTTCTTGCCCTTTAAGAAACTTATACAATCTGTCTGGGGGAACCAAGAGGGATACCTGCGAACTCATCAGAAAATAGGAACAAGAGAACTGATCAGCATCTGCATTTTTTAGGTGAAGGAAGCCACTTACAGGAATGGGGGAAAGTGACTACAATTTATTAGACAACTTTTAGAAGGATTTTCCACTAGACTCTAAACTTAAAACTGAGATAATGAGAGAATATGATACTTTAGAAAATACTGATTTATTCCTGCCATGTTATGGTCTGAACATTCAAAATCTTTCCTTTCGGAGCTCTCCCTTCTGAAAGAACAGGACAGTCAGCCCACTGCCCCGCTTCATTTTAAGGGTTAACAAAAATGCCTCCTGGAAATCCAGAAGAGTTCTCCTCTCTCTTCTCTAGAGACTTCACTCTGGTTGAGGTGTGGCAACCTCTCCCAACCTCCAGAGATTAAGAAGGGAGGAGATGCTTTGCATCATCTCTCTGGTTCTTTTCACTGGAAATGACCCATCTCAGTGCCTCTGACTGACATAAAGGGGCAGATTGGAGCTAGGGACCCATGAACATTCTCAGAAGAAGTGGCAGTGCTCCAGTAACTGGATGAGTGAGTATAGTCATTTCAGAAATTATTCTGCAATTATTTACAGCAGATACACAACCCTCATGCCTGTAGAAGTGCTGGGGGCTCTGATAACAGTTCTCAAGCAATCTGCTTCCATTCCCTTTGCTGCATTTAAATTTCTGTTGTGAGGTGCCTGGGTGGCTCAGTCGGTTAAGGGTCCAGGGGCACCTGGGTGGCTCAGTCGGTTAGACGTCTGACTTCAGCTCAGGTCACGATCTCATGGTTTGTGGGCTTGATCCTCGCGTTGGGCTCTGTGCTGACAGCCAGCTCAGAGCCTGGAGGCTGTTTCAGATTCTGTATCTCCCTCTCTCTCTGACCCTCCCCTGCTCATGCTCGCTCTCTCTCTCTCTCTCTCTCTTGCTCTTTCTTTCTCAGAAATAAATAAAACATTTTAAAAATTTAAAAAAAAGGGGTCTGATTTTGGCTCAGGTCATGATCTCACGGTTTGTGGGTTTAAGCCCTGCATCGGGTTCTGTGCTGACAGCTCTGAGCCTGGAGCCTGTTTCAGATTCTGTGTCTGCCTCTCTCCCACTCATGCTCTGTTTCTCTCTGTCTCAAAAATAAATTAAAAAAATTTTTTTAATAAATAAATTTCTGTTGCATCCTTAACATTCAACTTCAGATGTCCATGAATTTTTAAAACTCCTGAATTTTTTAACTTGGAAGACACCTTACTGGGATGAGCTCCCTTTTCCCTGCATGGACAAAATTCAGTCAGAATAGCTGGGGGCCTACATATTGCTGATATCACCTTGCTTGTGACTCAGTTTTTATAAGGAGTTAGGTGAACATTCAAAACCAAATCTGCTGATCCTTGCTGGGTGAACTGTAGATTGAATGCACAGAAAGAAGGGCCAGTAGGTCATCACTTTTCAGGCAGGCTCCTAGGTCAGTTGTGCTACTCTCGAGAACCCATAGTGTCAGGGTCTTTAGGACAGAGCAAATATTCCCTAAATGTCCTTCCCTAAGAGCAAAGAACTCGGTTAAAGTTCCTGGACTGTAGTTCTCAACTCCATAGAATCAGAGAAGCACCAGGGGAACTCTGAAAAATCATTCCTGCTGTGCCTTACCCTAATGATTCTGATTCCGAGGGTCTGAGGTGGGGCCTGGATACTGTGATTCCAGCACATAACCAGGGTTAGAACTGCCACATTGAAGACAACCAAGTCTGAGATACCATAAGCATCAGTGAGTGTGGTTACTCAACCAACAGACACTGAAATAAACAGAATTCTTCTGCTCCTTTAACAGCCTACTCTCAACTGTATTTCTTTCTGGATCTTGAGAAACTAAGAGTATAGGCTGCGGGGATTACAATCCTAGTTATCCCACTTAGCAGTTAAGTGACCTTGGACAAGGTACGTAACTTTCCAGAGACTCTGTTTTCTTTGCAATACAAAGGGGTTAATATCAGAGGGTAATTGACAGGATTGCATGAAATTAAGTATGTAAATTATGTGACCCAACAACATCTGGCACATGTCAAATGCAAAATAAACATTAGCTCCATGACTGATGATGATGACAGTAAAAATATATCAGTTATATTTCAATAAAAGGAATGCTTTTTTCTAGACGAGGTATTTATTCAAAAGGACAGGTTTTACTGAATTGTTAAACACTAGAATGTGAGAGTTAGACATTTAGCATTTCCTTCAATTATGAATATAGGCAACAAGTCTCAGTATTAGAACAGTACCTGTGATCTTGTCACCAATAGAAATCACAGATATTTCCATTTATTACAGTCCATAGTCGAAACCCTAAAAGAGTATTTATATTTAGGGTGACCAACTGCCCTGGTTTGCCCAGGACTGAGGGGGTTTCCCTGGATGGAGGATTTGTAGTGCTGAAAGTCCCAGGGCAACCACTCCCAGGGCAACCATTCATCACTACTTTGGAATTATAGTAGTTATCGAATCACTAAATGTCACTGTTTAATATGTTAACAAAGAACCACCTACCCTGCCATACATTGCAATTTCAAACAATATCTTGGTAAGTGTACATATGTTCACATAATCTGTGTCCTTTATAACACCTTGTATTTCATTGGATGCACTTAAAAGCATTCTTCTGAGTCTATAGGCTTCACCTAATTGCCAAAAGGGTTCATAGTACAAAAAAGGTGAAGAGGGAAGAAACTGGGAACATTGGTTGAAAAATGAAGGTAACCAGATTTTAAATTCTTTTAGGCCTTGCAACCTAAAAATATCGAAAAAGACGTAGGCATGTACCTCCAAAGGACACAAGTAGGTAATCAGTCATTGGAGCCACTTTCCCATTATCAGGAGTCTGTCTCCTAATCCTACATACAGTAGCCAGGGAGTCCCCCTAATTTCTGCACTCCTGATGATATACATATGTGTATTTAGTTACTTAAATCATTATAGAGTTAACTCCATCTTGATGGCTATTGACTGGCATATCTATTAGGTCTACAAGTTTCCAGTAACTACAAATGTTCCCTCTAAGAATCATAATTTGACAGAACTTAAAACTTTCCGTGAATTAAGACAACAGAAAACTGGATTTTAAAAGATCAAGTTTTAGGGTACCTGGGTGGCTCAGTCGCTTGACTTCCAACTCTTGATTTCAACTCAGGTCATGATCTTATGGTTCCTGAGTTTGAGCCCCACATCAGGCTCTGTGATGACAGCAAGGAGCCTGCTTGGGATTCTCTGTCCCCCTCTCTCTGCCCTTCCCCACTCATGTGTGCGCATGCTCGCTCGCTCTCTCTGTCTAAAAATAAATAACTAAACTTAAAAAAAAATCAAGTTTAAAGAAATGATCAAAAATAAACTTTAATCCTTACCGAATACCACTGGGCTTCTGACAGGCACCAGCTCCCATCTTGCCTAATTGCCACCACTGACCGCCGTTCTAGAACTCTCCCACAGGGAAGTAGGAGACCACTTCTCTTCTGATCAATGTAACTGTAAGCTCCCAGCCCAATGTGGCCAGAAGGCAGAGTTCTCATGATCGCCCTTGTCCCAGTATATACAGATTTCTTTACTTCCCTATCATTTTTACAAAATCTCCTCACTAACAAAGTGGACCTCTCCTTTTTGCTTTTAAAAAAATCTTCTTCTACATCTTCACAATTATCAGGGAAGTCCTCAAAATGGCTCAGAAAGGTCTTGGCAGGCGGACTGTTGGTAAAGTCTTCCCTGCAAAAGCTGTCACTTGAACACACTACATTGGCCCTTCGGCAAGAAGCTTCAAAGCACAAGTATCTGTCATTTAAGGCATCACAATGATCACACTGCAGCTGCCCATTCTTATTATCACAGTTTTCTGCCAATTCCATGAGTTTACAAGTATATGCCACATAATTTTTCTTTTGCTCCCCATGAACACCAGGCAGTGGTACACAGTTTCCACAATCATCCAAAATCAGGTTGTCTGACAAGGTACAGAAAGTGTCTGACATTCTCCTGTCAACTTCATAATGAAAGTGAAATGCTGCCATGCTGCCATCAGGGTGTGCCTGGTCGCTGTCTATGATGGCCGACTGATTTCCTAAGGGACTAATGTCCATGGGAGGTCTGTCCACTTCCAGTTGAATTCCAGGGAACACCTTTCTTTCCAGTGAGGGTGGGATTCCAGTTTCCAAACACAGGCCTTCCTCCATGACAGAATCACATGTGTCATAACGCTGGCTCTGAGGAAGGCTGCACGGGCTGTTTTTCAGTACGTTGTTGCAGTTAATATTAAGGTTTTTCACAGAATCTGGCATGCTTTCCTCCCAGTACTTCTCATTGCTGTTCTCATCATTCATTATTTTCTCCCTTGTTATGGAGAGAATCTTGGGCAAGTTGCTTCCAGAAGATTCTTCTTTAAGCTTGTTCAATCGTGAGATGGTGGAAGTTTGCCCACTCTGCCTGACACTATGTGCCTTTGGAACACTGATGTCTGAGACCTTTTCATTACTTTCATCTAAAGCGGATGGAGAGGATGTCACTTTTCTCTGAGTCACAGGAGTGAGAACAGAAGCTGCCATTTCTTCAGAAGTCATCTTGACCAACACACAGGTTTTAGCTATTGCTGTTTCTTCTCTCTGGTGATCATGTCAAGATTTTTATAAAACAACTTATTGTTAAAATAATCTCAGATCTACAAGTCTTGAGAAACAGTGTGACAATTCCTTTCATTCAGGTGTATTAAGAGCCAAATAAATTTCCCCAGTTATAACTTCCTATCATGTGCAATATGTTTTTCTAGACCAGGGTTTTAAGGTGGTAGTTCAATTTTCTTTCCTCTGTTATTTGAAGTAATTCTTTTGGAGATTTTTACTCGGGATTGCATTCTGCAACTTCTGATCGCTCACCGACTTACTAATGATTACAAATCCAGTTTGAATGTTTCCTGTAAGAAAAAGACATGATGTCAAACACTGTGGCACTAAATAAAATTTTAAAACCAAACTCATAATTCTAAGCTAATGCACAATATGAACCAATTTTGAGGACAAAGTTTTGCAATTGATAGTTACTTTTAATGTTTTCAGTATTTATTTCTCTGATTTAATATTTCAGAAATTCTGTTTCCAGCCAAAGCGGAGTAATAACAAAGACTAGAATTATTCCCCTGCCTTAAACAACTGAAAAAAATCAGAACAAAAAGAAATAATGGTTTTTAGATACTGAACAAAAGGTAACACAGAACAGTGATTCCTGAAATGAGAAAACAACAACAAATGAGGTGAATCCTATAAATGCCTTGGCTTACAGTTTAAGAGTTTCTAGTCTATAGAGGAGGGAAGGGGAACTCAGGTTGAATCCAATAGAGTATGCTGATTTAAAAGAAAGAAAGTTGAGAGTTCAATGAGGCCATAAAAACTAGAGAAAGAAGACCTGTTAAGTGGAGAGGAGCAAAGATAAGGATGGTAGCAGGCTTCTCATGAGAAACAATGCAAGTCATAGGGAGGTGACTGGGAGAATGAGTGAAGTTGAAGATAGAGATTAAAGAATGCACTTTTCATGAGGAAAAACTAAAATAAAATAAAACAAAATAAGAGACAATGCAAGCCAGATGAGAGTAGAATAAATCTTAAAGTACTAAAAGAAAAAATACTGCCGACTTAGAATTCTATACCCAACAAAAATATCTTAATAGCTTTTGAAAGCAAAAATAAAATTAAAACTTTCTAGACACACAAAAGCTGAAAGAATTCATCACCAACAAATTTGCATATAAGAAATGGCAAAGGAAATCCTTTAGAAGAAAAATGATACCAGATAGAAATCTGGATCCATGCAAAAGAATAAAGAGCATGGAAAATGTTAAGTATGTGGGTAAATACAATTTGTTTTTATTGTAAATCACTTGAGATAGTTGATCTTTTAAAGCAAAAATAAAAACAATGTATTGTGGGGTTTCTAACAAATGCAGAAGAAGAAACAGCACAAGGTCAAGAGAAGAGAAATGGAAGTATATTGTTATAAGATTATTTTCTAAGTGAATTGGTATAACATTACTTAAAGGCAGGCTGCCATAAGTTAAAGATGTATACTATAAGCTCCAATGCAACCACTTTAAGAAAAAATATAGGTAAAAAGTCAAAAGAGTAGAATCATAAAAAAATTCAAATAATCAATAAGCAGGAAAAGATAAGCAAATGTGACTCTGTGTGTGTGTGTGTGTGTGTGTTCCTTCCATTTCACTTGAATAAGAAATTATTCAAGCCAAAATATGGAAAGAGCCCAAATACCCATCGATAAATGAATGGATAAAGAAGATGTCGTGTATATACTACACACACACACACACACACACACACACGCACACACACACACACACACACACAATGGAGTATTACTTGACAATCAAAAAGAATGAAATCTTGCCATTTGCAACTACATGGATGAAATTAGAGAGTATTATGCTAAGTGAAATTAATCGGTCAGAGAAAGACAAATATCATGACTTCACTCATATGAAGAATTTAAGATACAAAACAGATGAACATAAGGGAAGGGAAGCAAAAATAATATGAAAAGAGGGAGGGGAACAAAACATAAGAGACTTTTAAATACAGAGAACAAAGAGAGAGTTGCTGGAGGGGTTGTGGGAGGGGGGATGGGCTAAATAGGAAGACACTTGCTGGGATCAGCACTGGGTGTTATATGTGGTGGATGAATCACTGGAGTCTATTCCTGAAATCATTGTTGCACTATATGCTAACTAACTTGGATGTAAATTCAAAAATTAATTAATTTAAAAAATTACACTGAAAAAAATTATTCAGGTGAATGTCAGTGGACATAAAAATTTTAAATTTATGAAAAGTATTCTTAAAATATAATTTATCTTTATTCTCCAAATTATTGAGCCCTATTCTATGCTGGGAACTGTGTAATTGGCCTAGATATCCAAGACCTGCTTGCAAGTCTATTGAGAGAGGGAGAACTGAACAAACTTCAATCCAGTGTGGTAAGTGTAATTATCAAGGATATACAAGGCATCACAGGATCACAAGTGCCCATCACAAGTATACCACTCCTTTGGAAGCTGTCCTTCCCAAGACAGCTGATAAACATACATACTCTGCTGTCAACACCAGATTTGATCTATTTTTGCCCTTTGCCACACAGGTGTCCCTTTTTCCCTTGCTTCTCCCTTTTCCTCTTGTCCCAAAGAGGCAGCAACCTACCCCTCTTCCCTTACATATAAGTCCCTCAAGTGCAATCACAAACTCTTACTGGCTCCCAGCACATGCAGTCTGGGAGCACATGTCCTAAAAATCAGAGGACATCCTGGCAGTCAGATACTTCACAGGGAGTCAATCAGCCCACACAGGGCGCAGTGTCCTGGTTCCACCTAACCTTTCCACCTTTCATATCCTCCTTCCAACCTGGTTTCTTTTTAATTTTCTTTGGAAAAGAATTTTAAATTTTAAATTCTTTGGGAAAAAATGCATCTATTATTTTTGGAGAAATATGCTAAGTGTAAAACAATTCAAGCAATGCAAGAAAACACAAAATAATTTTCAACTTAACACAAATCCCAGAGATAACCTATCTAGATAACACTATCCAGAGAATACCACTATTAACACTTTGAGGAAACTCCTTCCAGAATGCTCCCTACACATCAAAATACAGAGATATAGGTATATGATTACACAAACACCAGATCATGCTGTATATCCTGCCTTATGCCTGTTTTCTTTTTTTACAAATTCCAATTCATGAACAACTTTTCATGACAAGAACCAAATAGATAATTTTAATGGCTTTTTGTACTAACTTGGTTTCAATATCTTTGCTCTATTTTTTAGAGTAACTTTTAACGCCAAAGCCTTCAGAATGACTGTTATTTGTCTTTTCTCACCTATGAGGAAGCTAATTCAAGGCACGTGCTGCTTAACTCCTGTTCTAAGCATTTCAAAATTATCATCTCATGTAATTTTCGTTTAATCATACAAGATAATGTGATAACTAATTCTTTGATACTCCACCTTTCAAAAGGTAGAGCCTAACTGCCTTCCCCTTGCATGGGGACTATACCTGGTGACTTTTTTCCAACATACAAAATGTGTTGGAAGTAACAGTGTATAGGTCATAAAACGTTATAAAAGTCACTGGAGTTTCCTCTTTGCTCTGCCTCTCATTTGCTCTGGGGGAAATCAGCTGTCATGTCATAGGAAGAGTTCCCTTTGGCAAGAACTGAGGCCTCCTGCCAACAGCCACTGGAATGAGCCATCTTGGAAGGGGATCCTCCAACACCAGTCAAGTCTTCACATGACTGCAGCCACGGTCTACATGTCTATACGACTTTAACCAATGAGCAAGTCTGAACCAGAAGCACTCAGTTCCCAAATTTCTGAGCCACAGAAAATATGAGATAATAAAAGTCTATTGTTTTGAGGTAATCTGTTGCACAGTAAGAGAGAACTAATACAGATCAATTCTACTATTATCCACATTTGACCAATTAGAAACCAAAGCATAGAGAAACTAAGTCACTTGCCAAAGATCACACTGCTAGAAAATGGTGGAGTCGGGGTTCAAACCCAAGAAACCTGACTCCAGGATCTGTGCTCTCCACCAGTTATGCTGTTTTCTTGCTAACTAGTCTGAATACATCACGGGTTTGAATTCCTGATGTTTGCTGGCTGCAGAGACCCATGCCTTCTGGGAGGATCCTCTTTTATCTGAGTTTGTCTCTGGTAGGCTAAGAGCTTTGTTTTGTCTCCACCGGAAGTAAGGACTGAACAACATCTCGGGAAACTGACTCCCTGAAGACTCCATCTCAGGTCATTCCTTTATTCAATCTATTATTAAGTACAAAATTAAATGAGGTGGGAATCTGCCCTTGATTTCCTTATAAGATAATAGATCATCAGGTAAAGTATAGTGCAAATAGGGCTATAATCTGGATTACCACAGAGGAAGAGCATCTAAATCAGATAGTGGAGACAAGGTCAGGGTGATTGCCACAGAAGCCTTCCTGGAGAAGATGATTATCAAGCAGAGTTTTGAAAGACAAGAAGGATCAGCTAGATAAAGAAGTGGGTTAACTTTTCATAAAAGAGCAAATGTGGATTCTCATGGAGAAAAACAATAAGACATTGGCACCTGGCACTTCAGGCAAGTATTTTAACCACTTTGGGGTTGGTTTGATTGTCCTGTGAGACAGAAATAAAATCACCTATTTCATCAGATTGTGAAGAAAATGCTTTGGAAACCAAAAGTTATGGACAGATGCTTATCATTCTGTGCCTTGTGAAGCTCAGCAGCCCTGTTGGTTACATGGTGTTGAATTCACTTTTGCCAGATATACCCTTTTCACTCACCTGGTTCACTTAAACTTTAATTTCAATTCCATAACTGGAACTGACTCCCTGAATCTCAGCTGCATGACCATGAGATAGCTATATGATCAATCTCGAATTATACTTTCCACTTCTTTAACATTAGGATAAATCACATATATTTTTTATGTCCATCAATAAATGTTAATTTTCTACCTCCCTCCTCTTGGGAAGCCCTAGGTTGTCTGTGAAGGGAGATGGAATAGGTTAAAGTTATAGTTAGCATTAAACAGTTGGCTAAATAAAACCTGAAGCAGTGAAAGAAGATCACAGTCTACCAGTTTTGAAAAAGAAAGAGATGTAGAAAAAGATTCTTCTTTTCTTAATGTGGTTTGTAGGGAAGAGTAGAGAAGGACCCACCTGGGAGAGATCAAAGGATGTGTGGACTAAGAATATGGGAGAACAAGACAGAACTTGTCAAGGTAGCATTTCCAAGCTAGAGATGAATTGGGATGGATATGTCTAAGGAGTGATTGGCCATGAAGTAGGCTATGCAAGGGGTGCTGGAAATCCTAGCCAAAGTGGTAAGACAAGAAAAAGAAATGAAAGG